GAGAGCTCATACGCCATTGACAGTTGCTAGCTGAACAGGGGTTCATGCATCCCTGGTGAGTACGGAGTCAATGTCTCACCGCTAAGTCGTGAAACCGATTTCGTCAGCACAACACGTGCATTAGACACCGACTCGCCAGGAGTTGAGCTCCCGGTTACCCGCAACCAGGTTTGGCCCGCCTGTTGAGCGGTTTACCGGGGTGTGGCCGCGGTTGCTTCCAAATAGCTTCTGGTAGCCATAGGTGAGAGCTGAGCACCCGGTGGAGACCAAAGAACGTGGGATGCCCCAACGGGTCCGACGGCCGTCCGAGTCAGAGGTGCTACTCCTACCGGGTACCCCATACATCCATACACGGATAATTGAATGCAGCTGTCACTTCGGCTACCTGTGAGTACTTCTTGGTACGCTATGCAGTGTTGAGGTAATCTAGTACCCGATTTACTCTACAGCTGTATGTAGTAAGCATGCCGTATCATGAATTTCTCGTTTGCATAGAGTAAACAGTATTATGAAAAACTCAAATTGACGGAGTTAGGGTTCGCTCATAAAAATATCAACAAATAGTAATCTCAGTAGTGACCTTATTGCCACTTCATCCTTTCTGGTGGTATATTTGACCGTTAACTTGAATCTGGATTGTGTGAGTGCACACAAACAATAAATGTTTGGCTCATCCAGTAGGAGAAATTTGACAATTTTCTGCTAAATGGATTTGCAAAGTTATTCACTGGTTGGTGTGTTTGTGAACATTGATTTTACGTCGAATAACAGTATCTGCTTCCCTTCGAGATGTAGGCCCAACTTGGTTTCTGCAAGACCAACATTTTTTTGTAGGGCATGTCTACAGATAACCTCTCTTGGCGACTTTAATAAGTTGGCTAACAACTTCGATGCTGCTTGATGTAGAGAGTTTTACATACCTCAAATAGGTTTCATTGGTTCGCCCTTTCGTCTATCTTAGTTAGATCATGACGTTTTTTGAATCGCCGTTAACTTAGTTAACCCCTTGTTGAAGGTTAGCGCGTTTATTATTTAAATTTGCCTTGTATATTCTAATAAAGTGGAGACTTATTTTTATAGGTGAGCCGCCATAATGTGCTCAGTCCCAGTTTTCGTAAACTTGGACGAATCACTCATTGTTGTTTGAATCTTTTACATCAAGTCTAACGTTTTCAAAAACAAATTGTCAGCGCCTTTATTTGATCTTGTTCGCACGAATTCTGCACTGGCATTCAATCTGCTGAGACGCGATAGTAGGCGGCGAATGAAAGGATTATTACCAGTGAAGAATCTGGGTTTGTTCTCTACTTTGGGTGATTATACGAGACACATGCTACCAGTGAAGCATTCAATTTGATCATATCGGGAATTTCGTGTATAAGCAAAAGGAAGAATCGTCTGATCATCTGCCCCGTGATAAAGTGGATATTATGCGTGCGTTCTGTTCATGAGTTCCCGGATTCGATCCTTAGTTGGATCGATTCGCACTACCCAGCTAAGACAAAAATAAGTATGGAGGCTTCCTCAGTTTTCAGCTCACTTTCCATGTGCCCTGTCTAAGAAGAAGTTCAGTGAATACTGTTAATGTTGAAATCATTTGAGCTGATCCATTGCACTTGTCAAACAGTGGCGGCTGATGGCCACCACTGAACACGCAGTGGACATTTGTTTTCTTTTTGACAGGATTCATTATAAAAGTATATTGCTTTTGTGTCTATCAGAATACCAACAACCTTCTGAACGAATGCTCTTCCTGGGAATGAGATGTATATGATGGAAGCGCTGAACGGATCCTCATATGTGCATCCACATAGGATTAGAAAAAGAAAGTATTCATTTTGTTTTGGAAGGTGAACAAACACCTTTGTGCTAGCAAGAATAGAATATGGTACCATTTAATGGAAATTTATTTTGCGAACCTAGTGTTGTTCTAAACTTCACCCTTACCCTTCCAATCGCCACTATTTCCCGAATAATCGATTGACACGAATAATTTACTCGAGGAATTCAAACATCTTTTTCCCTTTCATAAACAATGCGGAGCCCTTGACCAAACCACAAGAAGAGCAGATATTCCTACCCTTTCTGATACCTGTTCTTCTGACTGACCATTGCGGAGCAAATATGCAATTGTTGTAAAAAGTTACATTTCCTCACGCACTTCATTCGGATAAATACCTTGCTTCCTCAGTCCGGAATTTGAATGTTTTATGCATTACCTTAAATAGGAACTGAAATCAAATAATTACAGGTTTAATCGGCCAGTACTGTATTATTCAAGCATGGAGTTTTTCCTGAAATTAGCATTTTTCAGTGTTGTGTCTTGCCAAACTATCCCCGAACATCGTCCCATGATGCGTATCCCAACAATCTCAGTTAAAAGACAGTTGCAAACCGTGCTAGTCTTTTTTGGAAGTACCAACCAAACGTTGAATTGAAAAATGGGGGAACCTGCGGTATTCATGGGGGTGATCACCGTGTATACATTTGTCCGGTATCGGGTTACGTTACCCTGACGATTACATATCCAAGACCCTCGAGAAAACGCCGACACGTCCCCGCGGTAGCAGCTGATCTCAATCCATTTTAAATTCAAACCGCGAGAATTCTCAGGGAAAGGTTAGGCTTCCCCTGACAGTCGGTCATTGACCCTTCATCGTATAATAAGATCATACTAGGCTATCCGACTATGGTAGTCAATAGGAGGAATTCTTTTCTCAACTTATATCTCATCTACGACCGTTCAGCACACTAAATGGGACCTTGGAATCATCATGGATAGGGTTTAGAGACACATTGAGTGATTTGGCTGAGTATCTCAAACAGTGTCGCTCGTGCAGCTAATCATTGTCCTTCCCACCTTAGTCTGTGAGAATTGTCTATATTCACTTTGCCTCTCCTCTCAACATTCCAACTTTTTTTCTGCCCATTTTATCCAGTGGTGGGCATCCCAAAGGCAGCAACCGAAACCGCCGCACGCATGTGCTTGGTTAATAGTTGTGAAAGCTGAAATAAACTACTACACCTTTTCCCATCAAGTTTTAGCCAAAACCCGCAATCCTTTAGCCTCGACCCGCAATCCTTTAGCCAAAACCCACATTCCTT